GCAACGCCTTTCCCAGCCAGAACTGGAATTCCTGAGTCCGGTAAGTGTTGTGCTTGGTGAAATTTATATTTTTTAAAAATATATAATAGTAAAGTATTTAAAAGAAAGAGAAAACACATGTACCAGGAGTGGGGTTCGAACCCACGCGGACATACGTCCATTGGATCTTAAGTCCAACGCCTTAACCACTCGGCCATCCTGGTGCAGACGCACGTTACCCCTCTCGCTCGTCCTACAAGCTTTATTCCACCGTCCTCCGCTCCCTCCTGCGGGAACGCCGCTTCTGTGGTCCTCGCAGCGGGCGGGCCGCGCGCAGGCCCAGCCGGTTATGCTTCCGGTTTCGAGGTGCGCGGGCGCAGGAAACAAACTAATCAACTTCTGCATTCCCAGGAGCGCGTTCTGGAGGCTCCCGGGACAGGTGGTGCGGGGATGGAGCCACGGCTCCGTGTGGGGTCTGTTTTCCCCGGAATGGGATAAACTCGAAGAGATGGGCAGGAGGAGAGCTCTGGAACCCCTACGGGCGGGTCGTTTCTTCTTAGCATAAGTCACAAGTCTCACGGGAAGAAATGTGTAGAAATGTGTGTCTATACAGTATAGTGACATATGTGGGTGACCAACCAGTGGGTCGCGACCCCTTTGGGGGGTCGCCTAAGACCATCGGAAAACACATATATAATTACATGTCTTTGTGATTAATCACTATGCTTTAATTATGTTCAGTTTGTAACAATGAAAATACATCCTGCCTATCAGATATTTACATTACGATTCATAACAGTAGCAAAATTACAGTTATGAAGTAGCAACGAAACTAATTTTATGGTTGGGGGTCACCACAACATGAGGAACTGTATTAAAGGGTCGCGGAATTAGGAAGGTTGAGAACCACTGGCTGTGCCACGTCCAATGCCGGGTGGTGTGGCCCAATTGGTCCTCCCTGCTGGCTCCCGGCACCCACTCACTGCACCACTTCACTGGCAGTGCCATGGCCTCCTCTCTGTTCCCTTGACCCAGCCGTGCATACATGTTTGTGTTCTCATTTCTTAACTGTATTTCAACGCTCTCCTTCCTTTCTGTGCGCAGGAGTTTCACTTTGCTCCATCCACTCCTTTTCCAGGATTTCTGCTTCGTTCCTCACCACCATGGCTCCCAGTCGCCCAAGGCTTATGTGTTCTGGAGCATCCTGGGGCCTGGAGGTTGAGGCAGGACCTGGCAGCCACGCCCTTGCTCCTACCTACCGGGCAGGCGCTGTCTTTGACTAAGAACGTCTATCATCCTGGACACTTCGCACATTCACCTCATTCTGCTGGGACCGCGCCCGCTGGCTCCTCACCCGCTGGGTCTCACGGTAAGAAACCCATTGCCCTGCCACCTCCTGGAAGTCCTGGATCCCTGGGAACATGGCCACCCCCGGGGGAGACTGCCACACAGCCGCCGCCCTGGTTCTCTGAGCTCCAGTCAAGAACATTGACTGGTGGAACTGCTCCTGACTCACTTTGCCACGTAACATTGTGAGGCCTCAGTGGCCTGCACCTGTGTCCTATCCTCAACAGTAGCCCTCCTACTGAGTGTCAGCCCTGGCCCTCCAGAGCACACAGACAAGAAGGTAGAGCAGGTTCCTGTGGCCATGTCCTGTCCTGCTGAGAGAAAAGGGGGAACTTGGACTCCGCTAGGATCTCGAAGACCCATAAGGTGACAACACAAGGATCGCCACCCGATACCCAGCATCTCCATCTTATTGCACCAAATTGTCAGAGGCCTCAGATTTCATAGAACTGGGCTTTCAAGGTACTTATAATGGTTATAATAAAAATATGTATTGAGTGCTCCCTCTGTGATGGTCATTGTTCTAAGCCTTTACATATATTATGTAATTTAATGTTCTTAACAACACTGTGAAGTGAGAGTTCATATCTCCATTTTGAAGTTTAGGTAACAGAAGCCCAGTTACAAACTCACTCAAATACAAGATGTGTGCCCCACTCCCCATCTGGGGGGTGGGGGGCATTGCACTATTTGGGTAACATTTTTATTTAACCTCAGACTTAGCTTCCAACAAGCCCCTAGTATAAGACAGTTCTGAACAACACAGCCTTATCGTAGGGCATCCCTCAGTAGTGACTTCCAAAGCCTCAAGATTATATTAAGTGTCTCTGGCTGCTGCTAAGGATGGGTCTGTAACACACGTTAGTCTAATCAGAGATACAGGTGCTTCTGAACTAGTGGAGACCAGAAGACGTCAGTCTGCGGTGTGGCTGATTGTATTTTCCCAAAGAGGAAACCATAATAGTATCTCTCTTCCCAACTGCTCTTCTTCCTCTGTGACTTGACACCTCTACCATCCATAGGGGTGGGGGAGGGCTTGTGTTCTCCCTCATTGAACATGGGAAGGCTTGTCTCTGTGGCAAAATAATGCTGTGTGACTTCCAAGTCCAGGGCATCAAAGGTGCTATATACTTCGCCTTGTTCTCTTGACCTAGGAACCCAGCCACCATAATCTGAGGAAGCCCAAGGAACTGCATGTACTGGTTCCAGCTGACAGCCCCAGTTGACAGTCAGAACCAACTGCTACAGGTATAGGTTAATGAGTCTTCAGTTGATTCTGGTTTCTAGCCATCAAGTGATACTGCCATTACGTCTTTCCAGCTAAGCACCCAGATATCATGAAGTAGGAACAAGCTGCTCCCACTGTGTATTTTTCCAATTCCTCACTCACAGAACCCATGGGCAGAATGAAATTGCTATTGTTTTGTGATGCTGGGTGTTTGCTTTTTTTAAATGAAGCAATAAGTGAGAATTCTGAGACTGATAAGCTGGGATATTGTAATGGAGCCCTGGGAACACTGCATAGAGACAGGCTACCAGACAAAAAAAATGAACATGGGGAAAGCAGAGTCCTGTGGTGAAGAGTCTAAGATCTGGCCCCACCATTGATTGGACTCCTTTCCTCCCTTTTTACTGGATTCTGGGTCATGCTGCTATTTTCCAAATTCACGTCATACATGGGACTGCCTGAGCGAAAGAATGCAAAGTTCCATTCCTAGGAGCTAGCTGCAAGGGAGGCTAGGAAGCAAAGCTCTGGCTTCTGCTTTAGGAAGCAAGCCTCAAAATGGAGGAAATTTTCCAAACATAGACGGGTGTTCAAAAGGTGCTGGCAGCTACAAACATGACAAATAAGCACCTGAGCGTTGGAACAAAATGTGAAAAGCACTGCATATTGACCGTCGTTATAAGTGACAATATTAAAGAGAAAATGACAATATTGTTTTCCAACTTTTTTAAAGACAGATTTTGTTTTATGGAGCAGTGTCTCAGTATCACTTTATATGTTTTATCTCATTTAATTCGTTTAATCTAATTTTCCCATTTCTATTTTAGTTCACTTTTAATGTTCTGCCTCTGTTGTTTTCCTTTGTGGACGAAAAAGGGGCCACATGCTGAACCCTGACAAGCTCAGGGAAGGCCTTGCATAGTGGCCTTACAAACTCAGAAACCTAAAGTAACCACATAGGGATGGTCTGAACTTAAAACTTTCTAACCAAAAGCAAGTCATGGAGGGTAGTCATGTCTTAGGCTGTTATCTGCCCTGACAAAGGTCAATCTTCACCTAACTGAGCATCTGTAATAACATACCTCGGAATATCAGGGTAATTTCCTTTTTTCCAGACCCATTACCGCACAGAGCAGAGATCACAAAACCCTTATTGTTATTGTTAGCATGTTGTTAACTGCTAATTATCCTTTACCCACAGATGTAAAAGAAGGATGTGTCTATTCATTTTTTAACTTTTTACCCAATCCCAGAGATTTCTCCACTCTGCTTTCTTCCACCTCCCTAATCTGTCACCAATGAATCTCATGTACATCTTCCCCTTTGAATCTGATGTATGAAATAAGTGATAAAACTGCCATTTTCCAGAGCATTCTCTCAGTCCTTTGGTAGTTTGCTTCCTGGCAATTGTTGTCAGTTTGACTCAAACAAAATCATAAAAATTCTTATAGGTTTGGATGTTTCTTATATTAACACCTTACTTTGTCTTTATTTGTATTTTTCTTTAAAACATCACTCCTAGCTTATTGAAATTATACTTATTCCTAGTTTAACTTAGAATTTTTCTTAATCTATGTTCATGTTTTCTTTTTACATATTGTAGCTTGTTATTTTTATTTTATAATTAAATATAATTATTTTATTTTGTAATGGTTCACTTTTCATTGTATTTTTATTTTAATTTCAACATTTTAGTTTTTCTTAATTTTCTTTCTTCCTTATGTTATTTTACTTTAAATTTTTCTTAGAAATATTTATTTTACTTTGTGTTTCTGGTGAATCAGAAATATGGCCTCTCGGGAAGTGGCAATAAAGAGAGAAAGGCCAGGCCTCTGTCCCCGCAGGCTTCACACCAAGGAGACAGGGACAACCTAAAAGGCAGGGTTTTCCTGCAGCCTCTGAGGATGGGGGCTCAGACGAAATTAGTTCAGTATGAAAGGGCAGGGTGAGCTTAGAAAATGCCAAACAAGGGCACACTCAGATTATATAGCAGATGTGTCGGGTGACCATACTTGTCATTTGTCATCCAAACTCAGACACTTGTGAAAGTGAAAGAAGGAACTGTTAAAAATCGTGCAGGGACAAGCCTGCAGGAATCTGTTCCCAGGAAATTTACATATGTGAAAGAAATGAGCATGCAAGTTTAGGCTCAAGTGAATTAATAGCAGTTCTGAACTTAATAAACACTTATTGAATAAAAATCACATTAAAAATTATATAAGTGTAAGTGGAAATCAAAACGTAATTCCTGATGTAAGAAACACTTTTCTTATTGGGCCTATTAAGAAAATCCAGATAGGAAATTGTAGCTGCCTTCACCGGAAAAGCACTTGATGTGCATTTTGGATAACATCACACACATATTCATCTTTTTCTTTTTCGTAAGTATCAGCAGCAATCCTTTCATCTCATTTGGTTGTAGACAGAAAGTATAGAACGGAATGAAGGTCATTCTGATGGTTTGCCTCTACATCTGGGAGGATAACGATCCCATCAACTGAAGGGGGTCCGTAGAGGAAGAACAGAACCTGCGTTTGAGGAACCTATGGGGCATTCACAAGGAGAGGTCAAGCAGACAGGATATAAACATCTGGAGCTCAGGTGACAAATCTAAGCAAAAGATAGAAATTGTTGAGTAACTGACTCGGGCAAATTTCCCTGCAGGCCAGAACCACAGGCAGCAGGGCCGCCCGGCACAATGCCTGTGTAATCAGTCTCTCATTGTCCCCTGGGATGCTCAGGCAGGACCCAGCTGGGTACATTATGACCTGGGACCCACGACTCAAAAAACAGTGATTTTCAAAGGTGAGACTAGAGCAAGCAGAAGAAAACA